CCCACCCCGCCGGCCTCCATTCAGGGTCCAAAGGAGAGGCGGAGGGGACCCGCCGGCCCCGGGGCTTTCCTACCCCGTCAGCGGAGTCCCGGCTCTAGGACCCTACCCCCGGCCTCCGCTCCGCTGCCTGCAGCCTGCTGCCCGGGGGCCCTCAGCCTCCAGCTGACCCCTTCTCCCCCTTTAAGGGCGAGCCCCGCCCAGTGAGTCCCCTGGGCTGCAGCTGCCCAGCGCGACCCCGCCCCTGGGAGGGGTCGACTCCGCCTCAGCTCTGCGGAGTCCGAGGTGGGAGGCTCAGACCCTTTCCTAACCCTTCTCGGAGGCGCCTCCCGTTTCTGACCTTCACCGTTTTCTTGGTCGCCTCCCTGACCCCCACCTCGGCTCCCCGTTACCGGCTGACAAGGCCCGCGTCAGGGCCGGCCTGGGCGGGAGCGCGGCTCCGAATACCGTTTCCTCTCCAGGCTCAGTCAGCCGCTGGCGCCACGGGGAGTGGGGGAGGGAAGGCGGGGGACGTGGGGAGGGTGGGGCAGGGAGGGGCTGAGAGCGCCGGGCGGGGGCCCCGCCTCCTCTCGCGAGACTCCAGACCCACGCTCCAGAGTCGCGTTTTTCGAAGCCCTAGCGGAGGCGGTGGGTTGCTCCCCCAGCTGTTTCCACTGCGTTACCGGCACCCTCCACTGAGTCTAGCTACTCAAGTAAATACGAAATAGGGCTGCTATGAGGAATGAGTAGGCCTAAACTCAGTCCTCCGCTGCGCGGGCCTGGAAATCGCTCTCCCGAGGGCCGAGGGGCGAAGGGAGCGGAGCCGAGGTGACTCAGGGCCGATCCGAGGGTCGGGGCCCAGTGAGGACTTGGGTAAGTGGGCAGGAGCTGAGGCTTTCCAGATCAGTGAGAACAAAAGGTGGGAGTGAGGGATTGGAGACGTGCATCTGGGGGCTAAGGGACAAACTCTGGGTCCTTGACGCCGCTTTCCCTGACCCCCCTGGTCTACCAGGAGACCCCCGCATTACTGCTTCCCAGACTCGAGTCGCGATCTCGCCGAGGGGGCAGAAAATATTTAAGTGCTGACAGCTTTTCGTTGTCGTTGTTACATTAGAGACAGAAGACTATGTGGAGAGTGGCTTGTGTATGCGTCCTGGGCAGAGAAACTTCTTGGACTGGGTTAATATTAACTTAGAGGCTCAGAAAGGACACCGATTCCCTTGGGCAAAGTGCTGGTGCTGGCCCAAGGCCCTTCCCTCTGACCCTCTCCTGAGAAGCAGAGCTGCTGTCAAGACACAGCGTGCCATCATGTACTCGGTTCCTACCCTGAAGGCTTTGGAGGCCAATATAGTTGTTGCAAAGTATTGTGCCTATGAAAGTCTTCACGATTTTAAGATCAATACATTTGCTGCTCTTACAACTAACTAATCCTGGTAGAATAGGCTAGAGCTGTGATACTGATCTTTAAAAAGTATTTTGGTCACCACATGAAACCGTAGAGATTCACAACCAAAAACCTCATAGTGCATGCAACCCCTTAGCCATGTTGACTTAGGACATTGTGTGGTCACTGTTAGGTTAGGTAACATAGTAAACTGGAGGAACCATTGTTCAGTCCCAAAGGTGTGATTATCCAGTAAGTATTTATGTCTTTGGCCATGTTAGGAGAGCAGAACAGTGTATGGTCCTTAGCTTAAATTCAATAGGCATATAGGATGTGCATGTAGGTTCTGACAAGTTAGACTACATAGCCAAAACCTGCACATTTTTAGAGAATCTTGTGTTTTACGTAAAATGCTCCCAAGGAAAAAAAATACTGTGGCTTTTAAGATCTGTAGGTGCTCCTCTAAAGACTATGTCGGTTAACGTGCCTACTTTATACCTTTTAAACTTACTTTGGATGACGGTTGGTAAAGGACATTGAAAATGCCAAGTTCAATATATAGGTGCTAACTTTAATAACCCTCATTACTGAGTACACACTGGGTACCAGCAAAGAGAGAGTATTCACCCTGGGGGTTTAAATCTAAGTTAGAAAAGGCATTAAAACCCAGATATAAAACGTAACAAAACGAGACCAGAACAGTCTCCTTCCATCTGAGATTACTTTCCCTGATTTGGATTTGTCTTTTAGATCCACTGAGCACAGTGCTTAGTATCTTTGGACAATGTTTCACATACTATAGGTATTTAATAAGTACTTATTGTAAGGTTAGAAAGCTAATTTTGCTTGATAAATTGCTCTTTCTCAAGGAGGTAGCCTGGGCGCTACAACTGTGATAAAACCAACATTTGAGGGGAAGATGCTTAGAAAATTACTTCCCTGTAAGACAATTTTTAGACGTTTTAACTATGTATCTTCATTTTAGAGCAGGCACTCTTTCGCTATTGGTCTATTTTCAACTAAGCAAATATAATATTTAGTGCTGCAGCGAATATTTCATGACTAAGTATCTGCCTCAGAGAGCTTACCTTTAATTAACAAAATAAATGATTGCATAAAAAAGCCAGGGGCTTCCCTGGTGGCGCAGTGGTTGAGAGTCCGCCTGCCGATGCGTGCCCCGGTCCGGGAAGATCCCACATGCCGCTGAGCCTGCGCGTCTGGAGCCTGTGCTCCGCAACGGGAGAGGACACAACAGTGAGAGGCCTGCGTACCGCAAAAAAAAAAAAAAAAGCCAGTTGTTGCCTTTTTTAAATTTCGATATTGGCAATGTGAAGGGCAAGGCTAAAGAATTTTAAAGGCCAAGAAAGAGCGGGCAATCAACAGCAGAAGACATTTTGCTGGTACCTCGTAAAGAACAGTTGGTGTGATGGAGATGTGGTAAATTATCAGCAAAATACCATTCTTTTTCTTCTTTGGGAGGTCAACAATGTGTGAGAAGCCAAGCACAAAACTCAGACATAAATGAGATATGACTAGTCTCCAAGCTACCTGAGTTTAAAAGAAAAGAATATTGATTTGTTCCTTATACTATCTTCATAGACTATACACAAATTCCTAGGGAGCAAAGTATGTTTTTGTATAATTTATACAACCTATTGGACAAGGTGCTCAATAAAAATTGTCATTTTCTGAACACAAAGCTATTAATATATATGTGGTAGACATCCCCAGTTTCTAATTGTGTAAAATTAAAGGCATGGGAATGAGTCACTTACTGAAGGTCATAGGATAAGGTCCTAGACTGGATTATATTCTTCCTTTCTTCTCATTCCCTCTCGCTTCTCTGTCCTCAAAATTGACAGCTGAAAATTCATTAGAACACATACTGTTGTTTTCACTGTAATAACCACATTGTTTTATGTGGTAGCAAAATCAACAGCAGGATGTTATTGAAATTGCCACAGTTGTCCAGATCTGAGTATCTTGTGAATTGGGTTTTCTTTTTCATGACCTGACAGTGGGAAATTGTGTTCTATCTGTCAAAAACAGAGGTACATTTTCCCCACTAAACAAATTTTAAAGGAAAAATAAGATCCACAAGTTAAAATGTAAGCTCCTTGAGGGCTGGGTCTTATTTTCTTTTGTCTCCCCCGGGACCTATATCTGGCATACTGGAACTCAGTAAATCTTTATTGAATGATCTCTTTCTCTTCTATAAACTAAAATCAAGTCAGAATGGTCTTTTTTTTCCTTATTAATTTGTGTTTCTATTAATGCAATTTTATTAGGTTTCTCTTACATGACTTTCCTAACTGGAGGTGCAATAAACACACAGTACATTTCATTCTTAGTTGTGATTCAATGTCTGTAACTGGGAGACAAACTTAGAGATATTTAAGATCTAGGACAAGAAGCAGCAGACCAATTAGACACATGCTCGTTAAGTCATCAAATACTTTAAATTACTATTTTTTTAATGAGAGGACAATATGGTTAGAGCCTCTCAGCCTCCTATGAATGCTTTGAACAGGTAAGTTGTAGGATATTAGCACTGTGACATAGCAGGAAAACCAATCACCTTTCCTAGTCATGCTTAATTTACATACTATAATCTTATTGATTAAATTTCAAGGTTTTTTTTTTTTCAGTCTTTATTGAATTCGTTACAATATTGCTTCTGTTTTACATTTTTGTTCTTTTGGCCCTGAGGCATGTGGGATCCTAACTCCCCGCCCAGGGACTGAACCCACACCCACTGCATTGAAAGTCGAAGCCTTAACCATCGGACTGCCAGGGAAGTCCCTCAAGTCTTCCTTTTTTTTTTTTTTTTTTGGTGGTACGCAGGCCTCTCACTGTTGTGGCCTCTCTCGTTGCGGCGCGTCCCAGCGGCCATGGCTCACGGGCCCAGCTGCTCCGCTGCATGTGGGATCTTCCCGGAGCACAAACCCGTGTCCCCTGCATCGGCAGGCGGACTCTCAACCACTGCGCCACCAGGGAAGCCCCAAGTCTTCCTTTTTGATTGAAAATAAAATCTGACTTTTGTTTTTATAGCTATATAACTATTCAGTAGACTGATTTTTTTAGGGGGAAACTTCTTTTAATAATAGATTACCTCCAAATATAACTGATTGTAGTTAGCAAGGATAAAATGCCACATAAATACCAAATTAGCCATCATCAATATAACAAACTGAAGTAAACTAATTAGTATAATAGTCGTATTTGCTGTTTACCCCCACCCTTACTAGCATATGCCCCTCTACTCCACAGACACACAAAGACTAACTCCTCATCCCATCCATCAGCTCTAGCTCAAAAAATACCATCTGTGGGGAAAACTTTCTTGACTCTACTGTAAAGTCAATTCTTGATTTGACACTCTTGGCAACCTATACTTCATGACTTAACATAGTTTATAACAGTTGTTTAATGTGTTTCCCCCATTAGATTGCAGGATCCAAGATACCAGGAAATTTTTGCTTATCATTCCTAGCAGAGAGTAGGCTAAAAAAATGACTAGTTTTGCCTTGAGACAACAGCTTTGTCTCAAGGCAAAACTATTGTCTAATTATTAAGTATATAAACCACAACAAATAATTCCATCTATTCTATGGAGGATTTAACTGTTTTCTGACTTTATAAGTATTTGATTTTAAACATTTGCTTTCTTATACTGAGGTTTCTTAAAGACTAAAATTGAGCAGTAGTGTTGACAGTTCCACAACTGAGATATTTTAATGTAAATGTTATAAAATACATACAATAAAAAATACAGAATAATAGGTGATATAAGATGGAAAGTAGGGGCTTCCCTGGGGGCGCAGTGGTTAGGAATCTGCCTGCCAATGCAGGGGACACGGGTTCAAGCCCTGGTCCAGGAAGATCCCACATGCCACGGAGCAACTAAGCCCGTGCACCACAACTACTGAGCCCATGAGCCACACAACTACTGAAGCCTCTGCGCCTAGAGCCCGTGCTCCGCAACAAGGGAAGCCACTGCAATGAGAAGCCTGCACACCACAACGAAGAGTAGCCCCCGCTCACCGCAACTAGAGAAAGCCCGTGTGCAACAATGAAGACCCAACACAGCCCAAAATAAAATAAATTTATTAAAAAAAAAAAAAGATGGAAAGTAAAAATCCTCCTCCTCACCCTCCAATCTTCCAGTATCACAACTGTAAACACAACAGTTTCTTTAAAATACTGAAATTTATAAATATTCTAACAAGTCAAGAGGCTTTGTTTCTTCTGTATTGGTTTGTTTTACATGGTGTTGAGATACATTTAAAATATTAAGCATCACTACTGTTAGAGTAGGAATGAAAATTTTTTAATAAAATACACTTAACACTGAGTTGCCAAAAGCCCATTTTATATTTATTCTTCCTCATTAAAATAATATTGCTCAAAACATATACTACCTGTACTGATCACCAAAATTTTACCGTCTTATCTTGCAAGTGCAGCACATATATAACTAAGCAGTTGGTAAACATGTAGAGATTGAGTACAAATAAGGCCCACAAGGTACTGCTGTGTAATGTATCTACCAACAGGTTGACTAGGCCAGTTGTTACATTTGACAGCAAGAAAAAAATTAACTGGTTTCTGTTCATTGCTGTGATTAAACAAAGAGTGGGTTCCTTTCTTTCAGCTTCAGAGACTAGAGATTCTGAATGCTCTCTATTTGCAGCAGGTGATCGGATAAGTTTCCAAGAACATGGTACTGTTGCCCCTTTAATTAGAAATTTGGCAAAATTCAAAATTATGTCACCCAGTAATAAACTACTAAGAAGGATCAGGCAAGAAGCAACTATCCAAATACAAAAGGCTAAATTGGCCATTCTTCGAGATGCTACTTCTACATTTACCTGAACTATGTAAAGAGAGATGAAGAAGCCAATAGCTGTCAATAGAATACAACATGCTACTTTTATCCAGTCTTTGATATGTGATCTTTTTTTAAGTACGTATGATCCTGTTTGAACACCAGCCATGTGTATTGCCACATACCCCAAGGTAGAGATTATTCCTTCTCGGTTGGCATTTAATAAACCAACCCTTGTGCCACTGCCATCACTGCCATACAAAATTAACCTTTTCAGTGGGGTAAAATCAAGGGCTAACTGGTAGAATACAGTAATGCTGATAGCCACAATCCAGGATTTATTTAGGGGAAAAATAATCAAAAGCAGTGATGTTATCAATTTCACAACTATTAAGGTAAAGAAAAAATTCCAGTGAACTCCATACTCGGTTAAATGTTCCTGATAGCCTGTGGATTTTATAATGATTAATCGTCCCACTCCTAGGAAGACTAATGGCCAAACAGAGTACAATGACTTTGTAAGATAAAGTCTGGACCCTTTTGTATATTTTCTCCTAACCTCTGGACAAACCATTGCAGTCCCAAAAATAAAGCCTCCTACTCCAAAATCCATTGCTCCTGTCCCATAGAGCTCGGTTTTGGCAAATCTTCTGGGAAAAAGAGGGAAGTCCACAGCCAAAATGGCAACAGCAGTAAATGCACTGTTAATTACACGGAAACAGGAGATGGCTGGAATGTATTCTGATTCTATACTGATTTTCAAGAATTTTTCAAGGATTTTCCCGACAGGCATTCTGGCATAGCAAGTTCTCCTGCAGTATGTTTCATAGAGCAGCCCTGCCCCAAAGATAATTACAATGAGATACTCAAGGAGGACAAATGAAGCGAAAATGGTCAAAGTGGTCACCAGGGGAACTATTAGGAAAGCAAAGTCAATGAAGAATCGAGTTCTCCAGGTATGTGAAGAACAACATAAGTGCTGTGAGAGAACGATCAGGAGCCCTCTACACAGGATACAGAGTGCAGGTAAGCACAAGCCCTCAGTGATTTCCAGCACGCTCGTTCCATTGTGGTTACTGACAAAAGCTTCCTTCATCTGCTTTTGAGACATTTTTTCTTCTTCCTGTGAAAACAAGAGCAAAGGGGTGGGGCTAATCTGGCAGTCCAGTAGTTAAGACTCTTTGCTTCCACTGCAGGGGGCACGGGTTCCATCCCCGGTAGGAGAACTAAGATGCATTTGTGGAAAGCAACGTTCCTGTGGAACCGGCATATATATGTACATGACTTGGTAATTTGCATAAATATGCACCTGACTTGATTTTACTCTTATTCCTGAGTTTCGGAGCAGAACCTAGGACTTGCGATTCCCCTTACAAGGACTGCTGGAAGAAGCCTAACACTAACATGAGGATAAGGATGTCATACTAATAGTATGAAATTACTGGTTAAAATGCTTTAGCTACTCTCAGTATAAGGCAGACTCACAAAGAAAGTGAATTTGAGATACAAAACCTTAGAGTGGACTCACAGTAGGATAGAAATTCCTACTACAAAGCATGTAAAGGTCATGAAGATATAATATAATGAAAACTGAATACACCTCACTAATGATTTAGAGTCAAATCTGAGACGGGAGGAGAAGAGGGACAGGGAAAGGGAAGGTATTTAAGTATACTTTGGAGTTGGGGGCCCTGGTTTGTCCTGAGCCTCTCTGAACCTCCTGCCTCTAGTACAAAATGCGAATCCTCCAGTGATCTCCTGAGCCCCAGGCTACTCCTTACCTCATTTAGAGGTTAAGGTGTAGGTAGGTAGAATGGATGCTAATCGTGGAGGAGTAGGGGCCGTAAAGTACACACTAGTGTTAATTGTTTTAAAGGGATATAAAACACCTCTCTGCCACATATCCATGTCTGAAAAGTGGCACCTGGGAAGAACACATTTGTTGGCCAAACAAGAACCATATTGAATAAAAGAATGCATGCATGCGTAATGGCCTATCTGGGCCCAGCTGATCTAAAACTGCTGGCCTTTAAAAATAAAAGAGCCCTTTTCCCGACAGACACGCGCCCCGGCCGCGCCGGCCGTTATACCTCAAGTGCTCCTGGTGGTTTCTGCGCCCAGAGGTAGAGGGTCGCGTAAGAGCCAGGGCGCGGGATACTCTCGCAAGGGCGGGACACGAGCGAGCCAGCCGCTTCCGCCTCCCGAACAGCGCTTCCGGCTGACGCCGGGCTGCCTGCGCTTCTGGGCCGGCCCTCCGCGCGCGTCCCCGCCCACGAGTGTGCGCGTTTCCCACCCTGCAGGCTCCCCATGCGCGTCCTTCCCTGTCAAGGGCTTTCCTAGTCCAGGTGCTCTCGGGCCTTGGCCTCGGGCAGGTCGGTAAGAGGAGCTCGGGCGGGAAAGGCGCTTCCCGCACCTCACCACTGGCCCTCAGACCCCACAGCGAGGCCTCGTCAGTGGGGGGTGGGGGTGGCCAGGGCGCCTGGTCTCCCTATGGAGAGACCCACAGCCCCGTGAGGGCCCGGAGGCCCTGAAGCCGTCCCTCCCTTCTCTCCTGCATCTTACCCCAGGTTCTCAGAATATTTTGTCCCGGAGCGAGCCCCCAACTTCGGATGCCGGCGCCCCGGACGAGCCACGTGCGCCCCGCGCCGCGACTGCGCGCCCCGCCCCGAGGGAGGAGCGTGCTGGCTCCCAGGCACTTGGCCCCAGCTGCAGCCCGCGGCTGCGACCCGGCGTTCCCTGCTTTTCCTCCTCTCCGGCTGGCTCCTGACCCCGCCTCCGCCCTCCCCTCCCCGGGCTCTTCCCGCTGCCTCACCCGGCCCGCCTGTCTGCCTTTTCAGTCTGGCCGGCGGGGGCCGCACGCTCGGCGGTTCAGGCCGTGGGACTGGTGAGTGCCACCCCCAGCCGGGTCCGAAGCCCTTTGCGTGCCCGAAGGGACAGGGGAGGCCGGTGGGCCCCCGCGGCGCTGGGGAAGAAGGGGGGCGTCTCTCCCTCCCCTTTCCAAAGCGCCGTTTCCCTTCCCTTTGCCTTTTCTTTTTGACCCTCTCGTAACCCAGGAGGAGGTAGCCCAGCTCTTTGCCTTTTTGCAGAACAAGGACCTTTCCTAGTCACTCACCACCGAGCCGGCAGGGGGCGGCCCGGGGTGGGGGAAAGGTCCCGCTCCTCTCCTCTCCTTGGCTAGGGACCTGGGAGGGGGCGGCTGGCCCCGGGAGGCGACGGGGCAGCCGCGCCCTTGGCTGGGGTCACGTCCACCTTCCCAGGAAGGACGTACTGTCCCCGTGCCAGGTGCTTCCGGAGCGGCATCCCAGCCCTGGGCCCGGCGGGCACCTCGCAGGGACAAGGAGTGTCCGTTCCCGCCGGGAACCTGGGGGCGGGGCTCCCAGGACCCTTACCCTGCTCTTCTCGTCTGCCCTCCCACTGCCGTCTGAGCCGAGGAAGAACCGGAGGCTGGAGGGGAGGAGGGAGGGGGAGAGCTGTTGTTCAGGTTGCCACCTGCCCTGACTAGGGCTTTTCATCTATTCATTACCGTCTCCCTCCTACCCACAGTGGTCACTCCCTTACCAGAAATTCTTGGCTGGTAATCGCGAAGCCGACAGGGAGCAAGAGCTGGGAGAACTGGAGAAAACCGCTCTAATCTGACTTGATTCTGGCAAGAAGTGGACCCTGCATCATAATAACCAGCATTTGCAAAGCGGTCTCAGAGGTACTATCCCATTTGATCCTTAACTCAGTATTGTGAGGTCTGGGTATTAGTAGTCCTTTTTGCAAATGAGGGAACGGAATAAGGCTTAGAGGGGTCTTGTGAACTGCTTTTGAGGGGTTGCGGGCTTTGGATTCTAACCCTACAACCTGTTGTGTTCCCCACTGATCCTCTCTCTTAAGATGAGCTTCTAGTTGAGGGAACTTTGTTGGCCTTGAGTCTCTGGAGCCCTCTGCGTGGCTGTCCCCTGGATGGGGTCCAGTCAGTGTCCAGGGTGAATGTGTCCACCACAGTCCTGATGCCCTCCTCTGCCTGAATTGTCGTTTTTCCAGTTTCCATGGCAGCCCCTATCCCTGAGGTCTTTCAAAGGCTGGATGTATTCAGGGGCTCAAGAAAGTGTCCACCAAGGTCAGTTCATTACTGACACCCCTCATTCTCATCCTCATCCTTCCTTGCTGGGGAGGTGTGAAGCCTGGGAAATTCCAAGTCTGTGAGTCACTTACAGTTTTTCAGAGATAGGCCTAAGCCCAGCTTCACAACAACGGCTCTCTCGGACGGGTTCCCCTCCTCTGAGATCTTCGCCTTCTTAAAGTTAACACCGAACTGTTCCACCTGATTAGTGCTCCCAAATGGATCATCCATCCTTAGTACTAACAATATTTCCCCTCTGAATGAATATTCAGATTTGTACTTTGTAGGGTGCTTTCACCTGGTTGCCCTTCACAGCCACTCCTTGTGAGGTAGACAAGATGAGGAATGAAGGTGGGTGGGGAAGGTGTGATGGCTTACCAGTGAAGGACTGAGCTGTGGCTTCCATCCCACACAGCAACTTTCCTGGAACATCAAAAGTTGACTCCAGCCTCCCTGCCCCACTGACTACTGACTGTACTAAGATAGGACATTTCTGTGTGCTGGAGGGGATAGGGCACGAGGCATCTCTGTCTTCCGGTGTCCTCATCCTGCATGGCACGCTGACTCAGAAGATTTGCAGCCCCACCTCAAACCCTGTAGTAAAACTGGCCCTGAAGGAGCCCAGGGCCCCTCTGGAGGCACCTGTAAGTCTCCCCTGTTCCCTCATCGGCAGGGGGCGGCACAGACTCTCCCTCTCTGCCCAGGCTCACCCGGGTTCTCATTTTGGTTCTTCCTGCTTGGTGTGAGGAGCAGGAGTGAGTCACCCTGGAGAAGCCATCACCTGTGTGTGCCCCTTGTCTTCCCTCTCATGCCACAGGCTCTAGGGTGATTCGTCTCATAGATTCCTCAAGAACTGAGCCCTTTGCAGGACTCATGCCCCAGCCTGTGCCCCCATGACCAGGTGGATAGCACTCCTTGTGCCTGCGACCCAGAACCCTGGCTGACGACTTTAAAGCAGGATGCTCCAGCAGGTAAACCCTCACCCTTCGATAACCCTGGCCCTCAGGCACCTGAGGCACCTCCGCGTCTTTCATTTACCTGAATGAATCTTCCACTGCTCTGACCTGGAAAGAAGGGAAAGACCCCTTAAAGGTCTTTCTTCTTTTTTGTCTTCAGATAGTCATTCCAATGCCTTTCACCTGTTTCCAAGAAGCTCTTCCTGATACCTAATTTGAATCTCCCCTGTTGTGGTTTTTAGCTCTTTTCCCTGGGATGGGTAAGATGGGCGGGGTGAGGGAATCCTTAGGGCATTTTGGTGACCTTACAAGCCTGAGCCGTTGAGGGAGTCCTGAGAGATGTCCCTCACAGCCTGGGTTATTAAGGCAAGTGGAAGGCTGTGGCTTCCAAGAGGAGGTGTTTCTTGAAGCTGAGCCTTAAAGAATAAGTAGGAATTGGGACTTTCCTGGCAGTCCAGTGGTTAAGACTCCACCCTCTCACTGCAGGGGGCATGGGTTCAATCCCTGGTTGGGGAACTAAGATCCTGCGTGCCATGCAGTGTGGCAAAAAAAAAAAGTAGGAATTAGCCAGGTGGAGAAGGAAATAAGCAGTCCAGGCCAAGAGGTCAGCCTGTGCGAAAATGTGAGAGAAGAGGACCTATGTGGAAATATACAAGAATTCTGATGAATGAATCATGGAGTCCACAGTGGGTTGCTGTAGGGACTTGAAACCTGCCCTTACTCCAGGCCTCAGCCTCTGAAAGGCTCCTGTGGCCCCCGTTCTGCCCTTCACTGTGGAGCCCTATCTCATACCCATATCATCCTTCACATGCACCTCTTGGTCCAAAGACAATGCCAGTAGATATTTGCTGAATTTTAATTTACTGAGTGTTGCCACTGGCCTGAGGCAGATGATTCCTGCCCTTTAGGAGATCGCGGTCTAGTGGAGTCCTAGGCAGGTAAGGCAAGATAACTGAGAGTGAGGTCAGCCAGCCTCAAGGGAGTCATGGTAGACTCTGCTACTTGACCTTCTCCCAGCCTTTTGGCTGATGAAACAGGCTTGAAGGCTGGAGAGAAGCATGCAGGACAGTCATCTGCTCTGGGCTTTTTTTATTGTCCATTTTTGACTTATTTCTTATTTAAAAAGCAGTAACATTTATCGTAACTGTACTAGCAGCTGCTCTGTGTTGAGCCCTTGCTATATAGTAGGCACTGTACTAAGCATTTTACACATATAGTTTTGTTTAGTTCTTGAGAAAGATACCATATTATATATATATAGTGCTATTATATCCCCATTTTGGAGATAAGGCTCAGAGCAGTTAAGTGACTTATTCAAGGTCAAGTTCATTATAAGCAATGTGGGAAATATAGGTAAGCAAAAAGAACATTAACGTTACCCATAATTGTACTGCCCAGAGATAACCGACATTTCAGAGAATATCCTAGATTTTTTTCCCTAAATATGTATTTTTAAAATATTTAAAGGTATCATTCTCTTTGTAATCTGCTTTATTTCATTGTAAGGATGTACTATAATTTAAGCTACTATTTGGACATTTGGGTTATTTTCAATTGTTTTGCAGTTGTAAATGTTTCTATATATACTGAACATTTTTATGACCTTTACATAGGATCATGTTCTAGAAGAAGAATTGCAAGCTTAAGGGACATACGTAGTTTTAAGGCCTTTAATATATTATTGCCTAATTAGAAGGGCTGCTTTTAACAAAATTATATTATAATAGCTAACTTCTGGTGGAAGAGACCAGATGCCTTTTCTAAATACTTTATGTGCTTGTTAGCATCTATGAGGTAGATGCTACCACCATTCCCATTTTACAGATGAGGAAAATTGAGGCACAAAGAGATTAAGAAATTTACACAAGATTATACAACTAGGAAGTGGTAGAATCAGGATTCAAACCCAGGCAATCTAGCTTTCAAGTCCAAGTCAAGGACCATTATACTCAGCTGCCTCTCTGGAAGGATAAGAGCTGTTCATAAATTATGGATGGGGGACTTCCCTGGTGGCACAGTGGTTAAGAATCCGCCTGCCAAAAAAAAAAAAGAATCCACCTGCCAATGCAGGGGCATGGGTTCGATCCCTGGTCCAGGAAGATCCCACATGCCGTGGAGCAACTAAGCCCGTGTGCCACAACTACTGAGCCCACGTGCTGCAACTACCGAAGCTCAACGCGCCTAGAGCCCATGCTCCGCAACAAGAGAAGCCACCGCAGTGAGAAGCCCGTGCACCGCAATGAAGAGTAGCCCCCACTCACCGCAACTAGAGAAAGGCTGCACGCTGCAACAGAGGCCCAGCGCAGCCAAAAAAAAAAAGCAAAAAAAAAAAATTATGGATGGCTGTGTGAGGTATTTTCTTTTTTCCCCTAGAGCAGAGGGATTCGCATAGACCCAGTCATGCTCTGACCTTGGTAGTTATCCTGGAGGCCAAGAGCCTGCTTTGTACGTGCATCATCGTGGGCCCAAGTTCAGAGAACAGGCAACATCTTTGGAAAGAAACTTATTACTGGGCCTCTCAAATGACACTTGCCTCCTTGGCTTGAGAGTTTGAACTCTAAGGTTAAGTAGTATCATTAGAAACCCACACGTGTTATATCACAGACCCCTTCCTCCAGAAGCAGATTTCAGCCAAGTTACTGTCTTCTTTTATTACCCACACCATCTTTCCTGCAGCCCCCAGGGAGAAAAGAGGAGCAATGGGATCACAGGAGGAAAACAGGGAGAGGAAACATGTGGAAAGTGTTGGCATTGAGGATGGGCAAGGGAGAGGGAGAAAGGGCCCCTTTCCCTTGGTGCTCATTCTTGACCTCATCTGACTTCTGAGCCAGGCTTCTTCTCAAGTAGACCAGGGCAGCAGGAGCTAGTTAATTAACCAGGCTAAATTTAAGCCCCAAGAGGCGGGTGCTGAAGACATGGGGCTACCTCATAGCTGAGTTTTCATCTCAAGCTGAATGGTCTCTTTCAAAAAAAGGGCCAAACCATGGTTCTTTTCCTTTGCAGTTCTCCTGTAGCAGCCCCCCACCTTGGGCCCCACCCCTGCCAGCCCAGTAATGCTGGTAGCTGGCCCGGCTGGAAGCTGGAACTCATGGCAGAGGAGAGGGGATAGCATTTATTGATTTACTGAGTACATGTTATGTGCCAGGCACTTGACTAAGTGCTTTGTATATGTCTTCTTATTTTTCTTCCAAATAGCCCTGTGAGTTGATTTTATTTTTCCTAATTTACAAATAAAGAAGCTGTGGCTCAGAGAGGTTAAGTAACTTACCGAGTCTCACAGGCCTAGTAAGTGGCAGAGCTGAAGTTTGAACAACCAGGCTATGATACTAGAGGCTTGTTCTCTTTCTACTATACAGGCCCCCACCCTTATGTAGCTGCCAGCTGGTCTGAGTCCCAGCTCTCCTGGCCCTGTTACTCCCTCCCAGGTTAATGGCCACAGTTCAGGCTCTGATGCCCATGGCGGGGAATCCCTCAGAGAAGACCTGCAGGAGTTCCTGAGCGGGGAGGCCCCGCTGCACCAGCTGGATGACCTCACCAAGGTGAATCCTGTGACGCTGGAGACAGGTATGGGCCCCCCCTCTCCTTGAGTGTGCCGTCTCCAGTGGGTGGAGGCGTGATGAGGGTATTCAACACTGCTGCCCCTGGCCAGACTAAGGCAGGCAGGACTCCTGACCTGGAGCCAGACCTCTGCCTGGTAGCTGCCCCCGGGCTCCCCATTGCAGCCTTTGCTCCAGATGTGGGGCTCAGCTTAATTAGATCTTGTACCTACTCTTCAGGGAGCTGCTGGGATCTAATGGTTCTTGGCTAATTGCAGAGGGAGCGCTGTTAGGCGGGTGTTTGTATGTGCAGTTTATGTCTCCATTTGAGCCAGAGTTTGCTAAAGGCACCTCTGCCTCAGTCCTGAGGTGTCTGCAGGCCCGGTACATGGCAGACACGTTCTACACCAGCGCTGGCTGCACCCTGGTGGCTCTGAACCCCTTCAAGCCCATCCCTCAGCTCTATTCACCAGACCTGATGCAAGAGTACCACGCTGCTCCTCAGCCCCAGGTAAGACTCACGGCTGCCTGTGGCCTCAGGGCTCCCCCTCCTCCCCTAGGCTACCCTGTCCTTATCCATGTATTCACCAGCCAGGTAGTCATTCAGAGTCTACTGGTGCCATGGCCCTGCCCGCCAGGAGCTCACAGAAGTTAGGACATACACCAGTAGGTGCAAAGTTGGAGATAAATATTTGTTCAACTGATTTTGGAACTTAAAATAGGGACATAGGACAGATGATTTTTATTTTCTTTGTGAATTTATTAGTAGGAAAGAATTTACAAGGGTACATTTGTGTATTTAACAAACCACTTTTTTGGGAAAAGGATAAAATGACATGTGATAAGGATTGCCCTAGAAAATTCAGCACATATTCATCTCCACTGATTGGAATGCCAAGTAACTTCTTTTTTTAATAAATTTATTTAATTAATTAATTTATTTATTTTTGGCTGTATTAGGTCTTCGTTGCTGTGTGCGGGCTTCCTCTGGTTGCGGCGAGCAGGGGCTTCTCTTTGTTGCGATGCGTGGGCTTCTCATTGCGGTGGCTTCTCTTGTTGCGGAGCACGGGCTCTAGGCTCGTGGGCTCAGTAGCTGTGGCTCGTGGGCTCTAGAGCTCAGGCTCAGTAATTGTGGCGCACGGGCTTAGTTGCTCCGCGGCACGTGAGATCTTCCCGGGCCAGGGTTTGAACCCACGTCCCCTGCATTGGCAGACAGATTCTTAACCACTGCGCCACCAGGGAAGTCTGCCAAGTAACTTCTTGTGGGGGTGAGGGTGGAGCTGGTGCAGGCAGGGAATAGACCAGTTGATGTTAAAGTGCAGGGAGAAGCAAGAGCAGACTTGCTGGCCAGAGGGAGGTATTGCAGAGAGAGGCAGGAGATGAGATAAGCCAGGACTGTTGAAGGGTCTGATGCACCACAGCAGGCAGAGTGTCCACAGAGGTTCTTCATCAGGCGTGGGGGTGGGGCTGTGAACGGAGCCGACTGTGGGGATAATTACCTTGGAAGTTGGGGGAGTTGGGTTCAGGAAGGTGAGACAGGAGACAGAACAGTTGGAGGCTTTGTAATAGTCCAGGTGGGAGGTGGATGGGGTGAGGGCAGGGGGAGAGAGGGATGGTTCTGACACCATCCAGAGTGATGTCCTATCAATCGTTCCTGGCCAGATGGTGCTGCGCGGGCTGTGCATTGTGCAGGTTGCCTGGCTCACGCGTGGTTAGTGTACGAGTGGAAGCCAGGAGAGGCCTGGCCAGAGAGCCCATATCTGACCGACTCTGCTTCCTCAAAGGCAAAGCCATGTCCTGGTCCTCTCTGTTTCCTCAGTGCCCAGCACATTGAGGGCAATTAATACTCGTTGATGGAAAGAAGAACAGTGACTTTGGAATTCAAATCACATGGATGCACTTATTTGCTGTGTGGACTTGAGAAGGTTATTTAACCTGTCTGAACCTCAGATTTCTCATCTGTAAAATACAGTTAGCTGTCCAACTAATGTACAGACTTCTTAGGCAATACCTTGTAAGAAAGTTGTTGCAAATTGCAAAGTACAATAACATAAAATAATAAATAGCAGAATAAGACTGTTGAGGTAAGATAAGATGCGAGGATAAAGTGTTAATGTCATAGACTGGTCAAGGCCAGCACTGCTTCCAAACTGAGAGAAGATGAATGCGTAGAGCCCACAGTTGGGCCTAACATTGTTACTTCCAGGAAATTTTTCTAGACAAAGCCTCTGCCACTGCTGTGGGCAGGCTCCCCATCTCAGCTGTCATTGGATCAACCACTCCTTGAAGACAGGTGTTTGCTCACATGAGCTTTCATCCCTTGATGTTTCAGAAACTGAAGCCCCACATCTTCACTGTGGGTGAACAGACCTACAGGAATGTCAAGAGCCTGATCGAGCCAGTCAACCAGTCTATTGTCGTCAGTGGAGAGAGTGGTGCTGGAAAGGTAAGAGGGCCTCTTTCCCACCCTGTCAACTTCGTGACTGGCTGGACGGGCAGAGAGGCAGAGGAGGTCACTCCTCTTGGATTCAGTGTGCAGCAGTGGGCGGGAGCTGGGCAGGAAGTCAAGAGGCAGGGTTCTAGTCCATGCTCTTCCACCAGCTCTGCTGTAACCCTGGGTGAGATTCTTTTTTCTCTGAGCCTTCATTTTCTCATTGAAGGACTCTCTCAGCTCTGACACCATTGGAAACAAAAGTCAGCTGTTGGGGGTTCCAGCATAGTGCTTAAGAGCACATCAGAAAGATATTTAGCTTTTGCAAACCTCATTTCTTTCTTGTGTAAAATGGCAGGGAGGGAAAGACCAACACGTAACTCATGGGACTCCTGTGAGAGTTAAATGATCTAGTGCGCATAAGGCACTTGGTGGCATGCTGGGCACGTGGCAGTACTCCTCCAAAAGTAGTTAGCATTCCAATAAGGAAGTAGCCGACCTGCATTTCTGGGTTGCCCTTGATGGCAAGGGCAGTGCATTGGGCCAGCTGCGGGGAAGGACAGAATCTCCTGATGTGGTCATGTGGTCCCTAGGTGGCAAAATCTTAATAGGTGAGACAGAGTGTTGTACAAGGATGAGTGAGGAGTTGCACGGCTGGTCAGAGGAGGCTGCTGGCCCAGGCCTCGCCACCTTCTTGTCGAGCCTCACCAGCCACCCCACCCCTTCCTCAGCATTACCTTCACAAGGGATTCTTTGGACCATAAACCCCTCTGCCTACACTCACATGTGAAAGCATTGCTGAGCACTGAGCACCTGCCAGGTTCTAGGCTCTGGGGTAGCCAGTAAGGAGTGGCAGGGGGAGGAACAGAGGAAAAATGCAACATCTGGCTTTCAGGGGGCTCTTAGCTCACTGGGAAAGACAGGGAAACAGATGGAGACAGCAAACTGTAGGGATGAGGGCTAGGACTTGGGTGAAGAGGGGATCTTTGAGAGCTATATCAAGGTCGCCGGTGTAGTGGCTGATGCCCAGCTCCTGGATGAGCCCATTGTCCTCCAGAATTGCTCTGGGCAGCTGAGGCTGGACCTGGCCCTAGACCCATGCAACCAGAGCTCAGTAACCCTTTATTGAACAGCCAGTGTGGTCGTGGGCTGGGCCTGGTATCTTTTTCAATTTTAATTAATTAATTTTTTTTTTTTTTTTTTTTTTTTTTTTGCGGTACACGGGCCTCTCACTGTTGTGGCCTCTCCCATTGCGGAGCACAGGCTCCGGATGCGCAGGCTCAGCGGCCATGGCTTACGGGCCCAGCCGCTCCACGGCATGTGGGATCTTCCTGGACCGGGGCACGAACCCATGTCCCCTGCATCGGCAGGCGGACTCTCAACCACTGCGCCACCAGGGAAGCCCTAATTTATTTTTGATAAATAGTAACATAGTGACATAGCTCAAAAATCAAGCAATACTACAAGGTTTACATAAAAAAACAGCAACCCTGCCCCATATCTCTCAGCCCTATGCTTTCACATCTTTTAGCAGTTTGTTTGGGTGTCTCCATCCGTATTTCTAAACAACATGCTTATATTATTAGCTATTGATTTTTGTTTTGACCTTATCTGTTCATTTCCTACTTTGATGAGGATTTAGCCCTTTTTCCCTGCCCCCAAGTACATACATACATATCACGATTCCTGGGTAAGTTAACATATAGTACTTGTAATTACAAGTATGTATGTATTGTTCCCAGCAGAGCCCTGTAACATACTATGATTATATTTCTTTTCTTGTGTAATTTTTCTTTGCCTCTACTTAATAATTGCCCCCACTTTTTCACTTGTTTAGTTTCTATATACCTGTTATTAATTCATTATCAAACTTGTCACCAAAACTGGAAAACACCTACCCAACAGGTGCTTTTTTTTTTTTTTTTTTTAATCGCACCGCTTCCAGGATCTTAGTTCCCCAAGCAGGGATCGAACCCGTGCCCCCTGCAGTGGAAGCACGGAGTCTCAACCACTGGACCGCCAGGGAATTCCCTCAGGTGCTTTTTTTTCTTGGCGATGCCCTTCCTAGGGTTCTCACATCTCCTACTCGCATCCAGACTGGTGGCTGCCAAGGGCTGCTGCCACACAGCTATTACCGGGGAGCTGTGTGCCTCACTCTGGGGATCCAGATTGTCCTCTGTTCTATGATAAATCTCTTGTTGTTGGAGCCCAATGGATTCCTCTTCATCCTTTACTGCCTTGTTTTTATGGAGCATATTCTTCAGTAGCTTCCCGACAAAGGTTACTTGGAGGGCATATTTTTGAGTTGTTGCACATCTGCAAATGTTTATTCTGCCTTAATTTGACATGTTAGCTGGATATTATAATTTCAAATTGGAAATCATTTTCTTTCTGAATTTATAAGTTATTTTCTTATATATTCTTTTTTTTTTTTTTTTTTTTTTTTTTTTTTGTTTT